TCAAACTATTAAGCTGTATTTTCCAATCCCTAGTTCGTTTATGAATTTCGTTAACTAAATGTCTCAAGTACAGTATCTTTTGGAATTTGAATATCTGCGATATACAGTAGATAAAGAAATGATCCTAAGACACTGCCTTGAGGAACTCCAGCCAAGATCGGTTTGAATGTTAAGTGTCATGTGATACTCTAAACTGTCTTTCAGAAAAGTATGATTCCAAGAATTGATAGTAATATCGCGGCAACTTTATGCCAAACTTGAACACATGTTCGTAGTGCCACATCTTGTCAAACGCGTATTCTAGAAAATTACAGGACAGTATTTTTGCTCTTCAAATGCATTCTCAATAACGATTATCATTCTATGTACTTAATCTATTGTAGGATGACGATTACCAAATCCAAATTGGATTTGTCAGGATTTTCGAGCATAATTATCTATGCCATCTTAAAACATTGCGGGTCATGATTCAGTCTCAAGCAGGCTTTAAAAATGTATTGGAAATATCTTTCGAAGCATCTTTAATTAAAGTCTTTAATTTGTTTGTTTGAAGGTTGAATTTTCTTTTATCTGCGGTGTTTCTGAAACTATACCATATTCTTTTTGCTTTCTAGACTTTTCTTTTACTGCAGCAGTAACCACCTTTGCAGCTGGTCGAATTAGTTTTATAAGATTTTGAGCCTGAACCGCAATGACATCTTTATTTTTTTTTAGTCTTACGTTTAAACTACTTAGGTTTTCTAGTCTTACTTGTCCCTATCAGTATATTTGCTTGTAAGATTTTCTTTCATTGTGTTAATAAAAGTTGGGTGTGACCAGGTGTTAATTCATATAGTCTTTCAGTTTTGAGTTGACTTGTTGTCCAGTAGACATCTTATTGTTGTTGGTGGATCAATAAGTGGGCAATAATATTTTGTATTTTCCCATGTAGTTGTCCATAAGATTCACTCCACCCATATCTTTGTTGAAAGTGATGGAATAAAACTGCTTGGATAAAACACATTAATAATCAATCCATAAACTATAAGTCATAAAAGATAGTCCCGTATCATTGGTTATTACCAACTTAGAGCACTAAAACTGATTAATTTTCGGAGTATTACTTCTTTGACATGATTGTAGGTAATAAATTAAAGACTGAAAGTGATGGAATAAAACTGCTTTAGAAAAAAGCATTAATAATCAACCCGTACACCAGAATCTATAAAAAATGTTCCTCTATCATTGGTTATTACGAGCATCAAGAATGACAAATTTTTAGAGTTTTACGTTTTTGACCTGATTATAGGTAATAAATTTAAGACAAAAACTGATGGGGTAAAACTTTTGTGATAAAAACCATTCATAATCAATCCATAACAGATTTTTTCCTATCATTGGCAATGGCCAACTTAGAGCAGTAAAACTGATGAATTTTGCAATTTTATGGTTTTGACATTATTATAGGTAATATATTAAGAACTAAGTGAAATGATTTAGATAGAAAAATTTCATAATCAACCTAAAAATTGTAATCCATAAAAAATTTGTCCTTATCATTGGTTATTACCAACTACACTTGAATATCTCTATTCGTTTTTGAGATAGAAATGTTTGAAGTCAATATGATTTTTTATCGATTTACGAAGTATTGCGTGATTTTCAAAAAATCGTGAAAAATCGAATTCTTAAGATATCTTCATGACATACTTATTATATATAAAGAAAAGTATGTACTTTTACGGGGTTAAAACTGTACTTGAATATCTTTATTCGTTTTTGAGATAAAAATGTTTGAAGTCAATACGAATTTTTGNTTTTTAGCTTTATTTAAAAAAATCGTGAAAAATCGAATTCTTAAGATATCTTCATGACATACTTATTATATATAAAGAAAAGTATGTACTTTTACGTGGTTAAAACTGTACTTGAATATCTTTATTCGTTTCTGAGATAAAAATGTTTGAAATCAATACGAATTTTCGTCGATTTATGAATTATTGCGTGATATAAAAAAAATCGTGAAAAGTCGAATTCTTAAGATATCTTTATAACTGATAAATTTTCAAAATTTTGCGTTTCTAACATTCTTATAGATAATAAGTTACGGCCTAAAGATGATGGAGTGAAATAGTTTAGATAAAAAACATTCATAATCAACTCAAAAATTATAGTCCATAACAAGGGCCGTTGAGTAAACATACTGTATAAGGTTATCCAACTCCCTATGAACGCTGTTGTTATGAACGTATCCCCTCCGCAAAGGCCCATAGACAAAGGCCTTGTTGTGACGTCATTCGAAGAATTGCCATTTCTGTTTTCATTTATATACGTAAACCAACAGAAACTCTTTATTTCTTGAGTTTAATAACACTTCTTTAATTTTTAAATAATTATTAACAAATATTATTATAATATTTTATTAAATTTATATTATATCATATTATGTTATATTTTTCCTCCAACGACGTCACGTTTCCCACCTCACCCCGCCAACGTCAAGTTGTTCGAGTTGGATAACCTTATAACCAATACTCAACGGACCTTGAGTCCATAAGAGATTTGTCTCTATCATTGGTTATCACCAACCTAGGGAACTAATATTGAAGAATTTTCAGAGTTTCGCGATTTTAACACTATTATAGGTAATAAATTAAAGACTGAAAGTGATGGAGTGACATGTTTTAGATAAAAAACATTAATAATCAACTCATAAATTATAATCTATAAAAAAATTGTCATTATCATTGGTTATTACCAACCTAGAGAAGAAAAACTGATGAATTTACAGAATTTTACATTTCTAACATTATTATAGATAATAAGTTATGACCTCAAGATGATGGAGTGAAATAGTTTAGATGAAAAACAATCATGATCAACTCAAAAACTATAATCCAATAGAGATTTGTTCCCGTCATTGTTTATTACCAACCTAGGGAACTAATATTGAAGAATTTTCAGCGTTTCCCGATTGTGTTAAAAATATTATAGGTAATAAATTAAAGACTGAAAGTGATGGAGTGAAATGTTTTAGATAAAAAAACATTAATAATCAACTCATAAATTATAATCCATAAAAAATGCGTCCTTATCATTAATTGTTACCAACCTAGGAAACAAAAACTGATGAATTTTCAGAATTCTGCATTTCTAACATTATTATAGATAATAAGTTACGACCTAAAGATGATGGAGTGAAATAGTTTAGATGAAAATCATTCGTAATCAACTCAAAAATTATAGTCCATAAGAGATTTGTCTCTATCATTGGTTATTACCAACCTAGGGAATTAATATTGAAGAATTTTCAGGGTTTCGCGATTTTAACACTATTATAGGTAATAAATTAAAAACTGAAAGTGATGGACTGAAATGATTTAGATAAAAAACATTAATAATCAACTTATAAATTATAATCCATAAAAAATGCATCCTTATCATTAATTGTTACCAACCTAGGAAACAGAAACCGATGAATTTACAGAATTTTACATTTCTAACATTATTATAGATAATAAGTTACGGCCTAAAGATGATGAAGTGAAATAGTTTATATGAAAAACATTCATAAATAACTCAAAAATTATAATTCATAAAAGATTTGTCCCCGTCATTGTTTATTACCAACCTAGGGAGCTAATATTGAAAAATTTTCAAGGTTTCGCGATTTTAACACTATTATAGGTAATAAATTAAAGACTGAAAGTGATGGAGTGAAATGTTTTAGATAGAAAACATTAATAAGCAACTCATTAAATATAATTCATTAAAAATTTGTCTTATCATTGGTTATTACCAACCTAGGAAACAAAAACTGATGAATTTTCAGAATTTTGCATTTCTAATATTGTTATAGATAATAAGTTACGGCCTAAAGATGGTAGAGTGAAATAGTTTAGATGAAAAACATTCATAATCAACTCAAAAATTATAATCCATAAGAGATTTGTCCTTATCATTGGTTATTACCAACCTAGGGAAATAATATTGAAGAATTTTCAGGGTTTCGCGATTTTAACACTATTATAGGTAACAAATTAAAGACTGAAAGTGATGGAATGAAATGTTTTAGATAAAAAACATTAATAATCAACTCATAAATTGTAATCCATAAACAATTTGTCCTTAGCATTGGTTATTACCAACCTAGGAAACAAAAACTGATGAATTAACAAAATTTTGCATTTCTAACATTATTATAGATAATAAGTTACGGCCCAAAGATGATGGAGTGAAATAGTTTAGATGAAAAAATTCATAATAAACTCAAAAATTATAATCCATAAGAGATTTGTCCCCGTCATTGTTTATTACCAACCTAGGAAACTAATATTGAGGAATTTTCAGGGTTTCGCGATTTTAACACTATTATAGGTAATAAATTAAAAACTGAAAGTGATGGATTGAAATGATTTAGATAAAAAACATTAATAATCAACTCATAAATTATAATCCATAAAAAATGCGTCCTTATCATTAATTGTTACCAACCTAGGAAACAAAAACTGATGAATTTTCAGAATTCTGCATTTCTAACATTATTATAGATAATAAGTTACGGCCTAAAGATGATGGAGTGAAATAGTTTAGATGAAAAAATTCATAAATAACTCAAAAATTATAATCCATAAAAGATTTGTCCCCGTCATTGTTTAATACCAACATAAGGAACTAATATTGAGGAATTTTCAGGATTTCGCGATTTTAACTCTATTATAACTAATAAATTAAAGACTGAAAGTGATGGAGTGAAATGTTTTAGATAAAAAACATTAATAATCAACTCATAAATTATAATCCATAAAAAATGTGTCCTTATCATTGGTTATTACCAACCTAGGAATCAAAAACTGATGTATTTCTGGACAGTCCTTAAGAAGTATTCTCCATTTTTTTGCTATATGAGCCTAATATCGGTTGCAGTAACACGGCCTTTCTGGTCTGAAGATGGCATATTCAGCTGATGATGAGTTATATATTGCTCGAAATCGGTCCCCAGATAAAATAAGACAAAAAAGTTGTACCTATAAGATATTTTTTATTTTTTGCTTGAATTGATGGTTGTTGAGTTTATTGAATTTTCTTCATAAATTTATTTTACATACAACTAACATTTCAAAATTTTTTACTCGTTCGTAACTCCCATTAATACTCCATACGCTTAAAGCTTTAAAATTTCGCAAATCCACTTTGCTTACTTTCCACATATTTTCATGGAAAACTCTCCCAATGTACCACCGATAATTACCAGCATCTTGATATCCACCAGGAACTAATTTACAATACTCAGAAGGAATTAAATTCCCCTCATAAAAAAATTTCTCCATGTTAACAGTAACCCATTTCAAAACTCTAGATGAACATAATATCTAAACAAAAAATCATAAAATATTTATAATTTTGTAAATTCTTTTTACTTTAACATCATCTTTGGTTTCAAATTTTCCAACATATTCACCAATAAACGTTTGATTTTGGGAGTATATAGAACCAGGAATTAAGGTACATTTTTGAAATTTTTGTCCTATATAAAGTCCATAAGCTGCTGATACTGCATCCGGGGGGATTGAACCATCATAATCTCTCCAATAATAATCATAATCTTAATAAAATTAATTAAATTAATAAAAAATAGTTAAAATAAGAGAGAAATTTACCCGAATTAGATTGTATCACACATAAAAATATCGTTAATATAAAAATTTCAATCACAAAATTATGCTTCATGCTTCAAAAACTTTTAATAAAACGATTTAGAAAACTGGCGTTGCTTAAAATGCAACCCGTTTTTATATACATAGGTAGACGACGATTAACTTTAAATGAAGTAAATATTTACATCTATTATTATATTTTATCTAACGTGTAATTTACGTTTTAGATCATTTCGGGGAAAATGAAATGTGGCAATAACATAAATGATGAGATATTTATAACAATTATTTAATAATTAAATTTATTAAATATAGATAATACTCAATAATCTAACTAAATTTCATTTCTATCTTTAACTATAAAAAACTTATTTTCAATTATATTATAGTTTAATTTTTTCTTGCTTTCTTTTTTTTTAACTTTAAACGGAAATCCCAATTGAACCGAAACTCACCACAATCGAATTAACCACTTTAAAAACTCCTCACCAATCCGTTCTCTCTACAACTTATTCTCTTCTGGCTTATTTAAAATGTTTTCTCTTCATTGAGGCGTCTCATAAGATTAGTACCCTCTAAGAAATTGTGGGGTAACAACTAAATTTAAGGTTTATTCATTTTATTGATTTTAAATTATTCAATGAAACGGAATTATTGAATTAAAAGATTTATATTTATACAATTATTTTGTTTTAGAGTTCCTCTTCGGAATGTTAGAAGGAAATCTGTCACTTCTGCCGTTCCAAAGATGCTTAAACCCGGTGAATTGGATAGTTCTGGCGGGTATTCTCCGGGGACTTCTATTACGTCGGTTAATTCGCTAGCCAGTTTACTCAAAGAAAAGATACAGGTAAATTTAGTTATAATTATATTAGATGCTAAGTATAATATTTTCTGGACGTTTATGAATTAGCCGAACCGATCTTGTTACATTGACTACAGAACGATTGAGAAAGATTAGAAATAACGTAATTGGGAACATTTTTTCAGAATTTTATGAAAAGAAATTTTAATTTTAAAATTGGGTTCATCGATGACCCCATAGTACTGTTATGTTGGTTAATGGCAAAGCGCTTGATTGCATAGAACTTTTAGGGATACATAAAGAACTTTATGTGAAGAACTCTGGCTAAGTCCGAAATTGAACTTAATTTCTGCAATTTGTTACTTGACAGGATGACAACATTAATCTCCCCAGTCATTTGATATTTCCATATAATATATGGAATAATATATTCATTATGGAATTATATATTCATATTATGATTTTATATTAACTAAGCCGAAAAAAAATTCTTAAATTGCTTATCATTGATAATGACATGATAGTAGGTAATAAATTAAAGGCTGAAAGTGATGGAATAACTGCTTGGGAAAAAACATTGATAATCAACCCATACACCAGAATCCATAAAAGATATTCCCTTATCATTGGTTATTACGAACTTAGAGGATTAAAACTGACGAATTTTTAGTTTTACGCCTGAAACATGATTGTAGGTAATAAATTAAAAACTGAAAGTGATACAGTGAAACTGTTGGAATAAAAAACATTAACAATCAATCCATATACGATAATCCATAAAAGATTTTTCTCCATCATTGGTTATTACCAACCTAGGGCACCAAAACTTATGAATTTTTGGAGATTTATGTTTTTGACAATTATAACTAATAACTAATAAATTAAAGACTGGAAGTGATAGAATAAAACTGCTTGGGAAAAATACATTAACCCTTTCGCTGCGCATAGCGGTTGACACGTTGCTTGATCTATGCGCGCTAAAACTTCGCTCGCGAGAATATTCGTTAGGAGCAGTTTTAAGCTTACGAATATATTCGCTTAGAAGAGCATACCGTATTTTAATATTTATTCATTATTGTTAGTACTTTTTTTTTCGATTATTAAAAATTGATTCATTTCATAGTGTTTATAGTGTTGGAAGTTAATAGGTTAAGATAAATAAACACATAAAGAAACAACTTTACAAAAATATATTTAGAAAGGCTATAGAAATGAAGCAAACTTCTGGGAAAATATAACAAAATAAGGTTTATAAAAGCTATTTTTTAGGTATACACTAATTTACTACGTAAGATTCTTTTTTGTGTGATACACTTCAAAACAGGGTACTATACAAAGTGCAACATGACATGGGGCGACATATACCTAGATTCTGCGCGTTTCTTTTTCTTCTCGCACACCACGCATTTTTTCGTTGGACGCGCTTTGTTTGTCGTGGATGGCACTAAAGACGGGAAATGTCTTTCCGTTAGACGCAGATCGGACTCAGCATTTGTAGGTCTTCTTCCTCCACCACAACGATCAAGAGGGGTGTGATATTTCGTTATTACTTGTTTTACAAGGTTCAATTGAAACGTTGCAACTGATATATTATCACCGCTCTTCGTTTTATGTAAGTAGTACGAATTTAAAACTGCAAGGTCCAAAAGATGAAAAAATACTTTCTTGTACCATTTCATACTTTTTCTGGCACACTCAATTGATGAAAGAAGCATATCTGATTTGTCAACAGATCCCATATTTAAGTTATATTCCAGTATGCAACTTGGCTTTTGAATTCTGTCTCCTGTGCGGTGGTCGATTTTTCCAGTATCCCTCATTTCTGCTTTAAAGCAACTCGTCAGCATGCGAACCTCACGCTTATCTTGCCATTTTAGCGCTAAAAGAGAGTCTGTGGATTGAAGCATCACCTGCCCTGATTGTCGTTTTTGCGCCAGATTGAGCATATGTTTCCTGGACGCCTTGACTGTCCCACAAGTATTTGTTTTGAAACCATGAAGATAAGAAAATAATGTTGGACTCGAATACCAGTTGTCAACAAATAACGTATGACCTTTGTTCAAGTAGGGAGTCATCAGGGTCATCATAACTATATCCTCAGATTTTCCAAGATATTCTACTCCAGTCGTTCCCACATTTATAGTTGCTCCTGTATATATAATAAGGTCAAGAATGTAGCCAGTCTCGCAATCGCAAAGCATGAAAAATTTAATTCCAAATCGATGACGCTTCAATGGGATGTATTGTTTGAAGAACACTCTGCCTTTGTACAACATGAGGCTTTCATCAATACATAAATTTTGGAAGGGATAAAAACTATTTTTGAACGTTGTTCTCAAGTGATCAAAAATTACTCTGATTTTGCGTAGAGTATCCCTTTCAACTGGTTCGATATTATTATCTACGAAATGTAACAACCGCAAAATAAGTAAATAACGATCACGTTTCATAAGGCGCCCAAAAATTGGAGTTGATAAATATGCATCTGACGTCCAATAAGCTTGGATATTCAATTTTTTTGTTTGTGGCATTAGAATCGTTACTGCTATAAAGCAGTACATTTCTTTGAAATCAATAGGTTTCCATCGTTTGAGGCGAGACTGATTTTGAATTTCTTGTTTGTTTACATATTCGTAATATTTGTTTGTTTCCTCAGCTATAATTGTTACAATGTCCTCGGTAAAAAAACATTGGAAGATATCAAGTTCAGTTGGTGATTCAGGTAAGTCGTTTACTTTGCAACCAGAATTTGTATGGCCAAACAAAATTGCCTCGGGCAACTTTGGTAGGTGGTTCTGCGGGATCAACTTCTTCAACAATATCTTCGGCGTCACTTTCTGACTGGGTGTCTTGAGCATCGGCGTCGGTAGCATGCACTAATTGTCGGTAATACACGTATTACTTTTATGAAAATGAATCATATTTTCTATTCTTACCTTCATTTGCTTCCTCGTCGGTATCGATCCATCCATCATCGCTCTGATCCTCTAAATGACCAATAAAGTCTTCTTCACTATCACTATTTTCCCATATAGCCAAAAGTTCTTTTTCAGTTAGCGGTTTAGATCGGCGATACATTTTTACGCGTAAATATCGATCAATAACTCGAATGGTACTACGATGCGTTTGCTTGTTGGCGAATATATTCGCTTTGAGCAGTGAAGACATGAAAAAAATCATTAAATCTGAGTGGGGATAATAGACAAGCTTCGACTTGTCGTAGATCGCGTAATGCTGTACCGCTAGCGAGAATATCAGCTTCAAGCTGTTAACCATTAAAACAAGCTTGCGAACATAATCGTCTTGAGCAGCGTACCGTAATATGAATATATTCGTCTATAGCAGTGAAAGGGTTAATAATCAACCTATACACCAGAATCCATAAACGGTGTTCTCTTATCATTGGTTATTACGAATTTAGAGCATTAAAACTGACGAATTGTTGGAGTTTTACGTCTTGAACATGATTGTAGGTAATAAATTAAAGACTGAAAGTAATAGAGTGAAACTGTTGGAATAAAAAACATTAACAATCCCACAACGCAACCTATAAACAATAATTCATAAAAGATTTTTCCCCATCATTGGTTATTATAAACCTAGGGCACTAAAGTTATGAATTGTTGGAGTTTTACGTTTTTGACATGATTATAGGTAATAAATTAAAAGAGATTTGTCCCTGTCATTGATTATTACCAACGTAGAGAACTAAAACTGAAGAATTTTCAGAGTTTCGCGATTTTCACATTATTGTCGGTAATAAATTAAAGACTGAAAATGATGGAGTAAAATGGTTTAGATAAGAAACATTGATAATCAACTCATAAATTATATTCCATAAACGATTTGTTCTTAGCATTGATTGTTACCAACCTAGGAAACAAAATCTGATGAATTTTCAGAATTTTGCATTTCTAACATTATTATAGGTAATAATTTGTGGCCTGAAGATAAATATTGAAATAGTTTAGATGAAAAACATTCATAATCAACCTAAAAATTATAGTCCATAAGAGGTTTGTCCATGTCATTTGTTTTTCCAGCCTATGGAGCTAAAAGTGATGAATTTTCAGTATTTCGCGTTTGTAACACTATTACAGGTAATAAATTAAAAACTGAAAGCGATGGAGTGAAATGGTTTAGATAGAAAACATTAGTAATTAACCGATAAGCTATAATCCATACTAGATTTGTCCCTAAAGTTGGTTATTACCAACCTAGAAAACAAAAACTGGCGAATTTTCTGAATTTTGTGTTTCTTATACTATTATAGGTAATAAGTTACAGTCTGAAGATGATGGAGTGAAATGGTTTTGATAGAAAACATTAATAATCAACTCATAAATTATAATCCATAAAAGATTTGTCCCTATCGTTGGTTATTACCATCCTAAGAAACAGAAACTGATGGATTTCCATGGTTTTGCGTTTCTAACACTGTCATAGGTAATAAGTTATGCCCTGAAGATGATGGAGTGAAATAGTTTAGATAAAAAATATTCGTAATCAACAGATAAATTGTAATCCATAAATGATTTGTCCCTAAAGTTGGTTATTACCAACCTAGGAAACAAAAACTGATAAATTTTCACAATTTCACGTTTGTAATGTTATTATAGGTTATAAATTAAAATCTGAAAGCGATGGAGTGAAATGGTTTACATAAAAAACATTCATAATCAATCCAAAAATTATAATCCATAAGAGATTTATTCTTATCATTGGTTATTACCAACCTAGGGAAATAATATTGAAGAATATATTATATATATATATTATAAGAATATATTATTATATAACCTATTATTATAGGTTATAAATTAAAATCTGAAAGCGATGGAGTGAAATGGTTTACATAAAAAACATTCATAATCAATCCAAAAATTATAATCCATAAATGATTTGGCCCTATCATTGGTTATTACCAACCTAAGAAACTAAACCTTACGAATTTTCAGTTTTGCGTTTCTAACATTGATAGGTAATAAGTTACGCCATGAAGATGATGGAGTGAAATAGTTTAGATGAAAAATATTCATAATCAACAGATAAATTATAATCCATAAATGATTTGTCCCTAAAGTTGGTTACTGAAAGCAATGGTGTGAAATGGTTTAGATAAACAACATTCATTGTCAACCCATATATAATAATTCATAAAAGATTTTTCCTTATCATTTCTTATTACCAATTGAAAGAACTAAAATTGGCTAACTGACTAAACATTTTATAACTTTTGCGTTCTTAATGAATTAAATAAATAAATTTAAGTAATCCTATATTCTTCTTGGATTACATGTAGCAAACATATCGAAAACAAATTCTTAAATGGCTTATGGTTGATGACCAACCTAGGAAGGTATAATGATAAATTTTTGGGGTTTTACGTTTTGAATATTATTGTAGGTAATAAATTAAAAACTGAATGTGATAGAGTGAAACTGTTGGAACAAACACATTAACAATCAACCCATAAACGATAATTCATAAAAGATTTTTCCCCACCATTGGTTATTACCAACCTAGGGCACTAAAACTTATGAATTTTTGGAGTTTTACGTTTTTGACATGGTTATAGGTAATAAATTAAAAACTGAAAGAGACGGAATAAAATTGCTTGGGAAAAAACATTAACAATCAATCCATAAACGACAATCCATAAAAGATTTTTTCTCGTCATTGGTTATTATGAACCTAGGGCACTAAAACTTATGAATTTTTGGAGTTTTACGTTTTTGACATGATCGTAGGTAATAAATTAAAGACCGCAAGTGACGGAATAAAACTGCTTGGGAAAAAAACATTAATAATCAAGCTATACACCAGAAACCATAACAGATGTTCCCTTATCATTGGTTATTACGAGTATGGAGCATTAAAACTGACGAATTTTTGGAATTTTACATCTTGAACATAATTGTAGGTAATAAATTAAAAACTGAAAGTGATACAGCGAAACTGTTGGCATAAAAGCATTAACAATCAATCCATAAATGATAATCCATAAAAGGTTTTTCCCCATCATTGGTTATTACCAACCTAGGGCACTAAAACTTATGAATTTTTGGAGTTTTACGTTTTTGACATAATTATAGGTAATAAATTAAAGACTGAAAGTGATGGAATAAAACTACTTGGGAAAAAAACTTTAATAATCAACCCATAAACCAGAATTCATGAAAGATGTTCCTTTCTCATTGGTTATTACGAACTTAGAGCATTAAAACTGACGAATTGTTGGAGTTTTACGTCTTGAATATGATTGCAAGTAATAAATTAAAGACTGAAAGTGATAGAGTGAAACTGTTACAATAAAAACCATTAAAAATCAAGCCATAAACGATAATCCATATAAGATTTTTCCCCATCATTGTTTATTACCAACCGAGAGCACTAAAACTGATGAATTATTGGAGGTTTACGTTTTTGACATGATTATAGGTAATAAATTAAAGACTGAAAGTGATGGAATAAAACTGCTTGGGTAAAAAACATTAGTAATCAACCCATAAACCAGAATCCATAAAAGATGTTCCTTTCTCATTGGTTATTACGAACTTAGAGCATTAAAACTGACGAATTGTTGGAGTTTTACGTCTTGAACATGATTGTAGGTAATATATTAAAGACTGGAAGTGATAGAGTGACACTGTTGGAATAAAAAATATTAACAATCAACCCATAAATGATAATCCATAAAAGTTTTTTTCCTATCATTGGTTATTACCAACCTAGGGCACTAAAACTTATGAATTTTTGGAGTTTTACGCTTTTAACATGATTATAGGTAATAAATTAAAGTCTGAAAGTGATAGAATATAACTGCTTGCGTAAGAAACATTAGTAATCAACCTATGAACCAGAATTCATAAAAGTAGTTCCTTTCTTATTGGCTGTCATCAACTTAGAACATTAAAACTGACGAATTTTTGGAGTTTTACGTCATGAACATGATTGTAGGTAATAAATTAAAAACTGAAAGTGATAGAGTGAAACTGTTGGAACAAAAAACATTAACAATCAACCCATGAACGATAATCCATAAAAAAATTTTCCCCATCATTGGTTATTACCAACCTAGGGAATTAAAATTGAAAATTTTCAGAGTTTCGGGATTTTAACGCTATTGCAGGTAATAAATTAAAGATTGAAAGTGATGGAGTGAAATGATTGTGATAAGAAACATTGATGATCAACTCATAAATTATATTCCATAAACGATTTGTTCTTAGCATTGATTGTGACCAACCTAGGAAACAAAATCTGATGAATATTCAGAATTTCGCGATTTTAACATTATTATAGGTAATAAGTTATGGCCTGAAGATGATGGAGTGAAACAGTTTAGATGAAAAAATTCATAATCAACTCAAAAATTATAATCCATAAGAGATTTGTCCCTGTTGTTGTTTATGTGAATTAGTTTAGATGAAAAATATTCGTAATCAACCGATAAATTATAACCATATATATACTATCTCCTATATCGCTGACTAAGGCAGCAAAAGAGTGTAAACACTAGAGTGCAGATATACATATATATATCTGTCTCTGTCGTGCCCCCGTCTACTCAAGAGACATGCGTGAACACGTGGTGAGTACGCTTTTATCTTATTGGACGGTGAATTAAAAATTAATAGCAGCTGATGACCTTGATGTTTATAAATCACCAAATAAATGTTTGACATAAACATAACCTAAAATCTAAATATTTAGTTATGTATATTATAGGTTTCATGTGTATAATAACATAATTATTAACATATTTTAGGACTAAGCAATTTAAAATGTAATTATTATTTGTTAAGAAAGTGAAGAAAATTTGTTAAAAGTAAAATAAAAAAGAAAAAGAGTAGGGGAGATATTTTTGGGGCCTAAAAATTGGTTGACCAGGTAGAAGGAAAGATCTCAGTGTAATAAAAAAGAATTCAAAGCCCTCCTTTTCTTGAAACGTTTTTCTTAAAAATTTAATTAATTACATCGATATGATGAAAATTTTATAATAGAATATTATGTACATTAAATAGTAACTACCCTAAGTACATATTTTATATCTTTAATTAATGTAACAACTTCATTAAAGGGCGTGAGCTCACAAATTATGTTAAAAATTAATATCTATATTTTGGTACACATTTTTAATAATTACTATGTATATATGTATTAATTTAATTTTAAATAATATAATGTTTAATGAACAACCTACATAAAGTTGATATTTAAAGCAATATTCAACGTCAATTTCACACAAAAGTACATATATTCTAATTTATTTGATGCATCTACGATAATTTATAATTAAAGTCAACTATCTACAATAATTGCATTTCAAAGCTGCATAAAATACGCGCGAAACACTTCAAACTCTTTAAAATTTACGATTCGCGCAAGCGCCTTCGCGATATGGGGGCACGACAAAGACAAAACATATATCATTCCGTCTGCTTTTGATGGAAACGCTCGCCACTCATTGCTTAGATAGGGAGTCAGCGATATAGGANATATATGACTCAATCAAG